TTGTAGCATGAATTTGCATTAACTGCTTCCACTGCTTCTTGAAGGCCTACTTAAACTCTCTTCTGCAGTGAAACATAGTCTCTTTTCATTCTTCTTTTCTCAGTTTTGGTCTAGATAAATCTAAAAGTCTTCTTTGGTAGTATGAATACTTTAAAACTAAATTTTTTATAATGATCAAATATCTCAGCTTTATAACTATTCCTGCTTTAATTCCTCAGAAGGAATTAAAGGCTCCAGGTCAGCAAAATTATCTGTGATACAGCTGCTGCTCTGAACACTGGGACTGCCAAGACCAGGTCCATCCCAGCACAACCCATCCCCTGCGACTTTAGGACCACCCAGAACTGATGACATTATAGCAAGAGGCATCATAGCCTCTCTTTGGTCTTCTACAGAACATGTGCTAAACATGCTTTCCTCATGGTTCTTTCTATTCCTAATTCTAATTAGAAAGATTATAATGACATATTAAATATCTAAATTCATTGTCATTAATTAGTAATTCCTCACAAAGGGCAACTGAAACAATCAAAAACTTACAGACACCTTTCCCTACACAGGGGGACTGCCTCTGGATACAGTTGGAAAAGTGGAAAAGTCTTCTGGGGCATCAAGGGCTTTTGATGACCATATCCTCACTCTATCCACAGATCCATCTGCACTAGAATTTGGCCAGTCATTCCAAACAGCTGCCTGTTCGTTTTTATTACCTTCCAAAAAGTTTTTTCTTTCAATTGCCAAAAGCAAAAACCTTCTCCCTTCAAAATTATAAAGGTTGAAGGTCTGTGATGGACAATATTTTGTCCAAGTTTCACTAAGGCACTTCGGTTTCTGTGCTCTTTATCAATTGACCTGAACAAGCATTTAAAACTGTCCAGTTTTTTTCTTCCTAATGGATTTGGTTTAGGAATTTTCTTTAATGTCTATTATCTAGGTTATTTTGGAGATTCTTCTGAGTCTTACAATCCTATATTGTTGATCTCAGAGAAACAATCTATATTTACTGATGAATGAGTGAAAATATAGTCCTACTATCATTTGGAAATATGCTATAAAATAGATAATCTCTAAAGTACCTGGACTATGTCCACATGGTTTGATAAGGGATGGAGCCAGCCCAATTTGTGCCAAGCAACTCTCCCAGCTGGTGTCCAGGACCCAGTGCTTTACATGAATACCCATGCACACAGAGCAAAGGAGATGTGTGCAACTTGCGTGTACATTTTTCAGCCTGTGTTGCCTCTAGCTTGTAAAGCTAACAATACAAACCAGCACATAGCCATTCAGGACAGGAAGTGAAAAACTATATTTAGCTGAACCTGTAGCAGAAAGTAGATGATCAGAATATTGCTTACATTTGTGCCCCCATTCCTGTGAGCACTGGTATAAGACTGTCTGCAGTGATGAGAGGCTCAGGGGCAATATTCCCAGTGTGTTCTGTCCTCTAGGAACCAAAGGGCAGGTGACTTCTCTGCTGCCACCAGTACCACTGCACAATATGTTCCAAACGTTCGCTAAGTTTGGCAAGGACTCACGTACTAGAAGTACTGGAAAAATAATGTAACAAGTCATTGTGGTTGTAAACATGCTGTTCAGTTAAATGAATTTCAGAAGATTTTTGTCTCCCCGCTAACAAATTCAGGTAGCTTTGGAGAGCACCTCCATATTTGTATCTTTACAGTGATATCCCAGTCTTGGTGCAATGCATCTTGAGCACAGAGATTTCCCTCCTGAGAAGCACCATCCCTCTCAGCTGGAAAGTGTATCCCTTAACAGAGCTTGACAGACAGCAGGGATTTAATTACACTGATTTGTTTCCAGCTGCCCGAACTGTCCCTTCCCCGTTTAAACACCACATCTCACAGGTTCTGGTGGGAGTACTCCTTTTCCTTGAGGAGTACTTTGCATTGGATCCAAGACTTCCCGAGGTCAACAGGACTTTTTCCACTGATTCAAATAATCTGAGATTTAGCTTTTTACAAAGGAAGGCTCTTGAGAAATTTTAAAGAATTTTTTCTCAACTCAAACCTGAACCTGGTAACAGTTGGCGTAAGATTTATTTACTGCACTGCAGAGATGTATGTGTAGCTTGGGTAGAAGAATCCCTTGGTAACAAACCTCTTGTGGCCAAATAATAACACCAAGGTCACGGGTTTGATCCCTGTATGGGCTATTCACTCAAGAGTTGGACTCAATGATCCTTGTGGGATCCCAGAATATTCTGTGATTCTGTGAAAACTCCCATTCCAGTAGAAGTCATGGTTTTCATAGCATGTTTCATAGGTTCTCTGGTCTGCTCTAACAGGGGATCAGACTAGACAATCAAAACATTCCTTTCTGAAGCTAAAATCTGTGAGCCTATGAGAGCGGTTCAGTTTACAGATTCCTCCAGTGTTTGACCTCTTCATGTCTACGTTCATCACATGAAATCTGTCAGCTGTGATGTGGGTTTTGTGCCAAAAAAGACATGTCACCAAAAGATGCACAATCATTACTTTGTTAGGTAATCTAGTGTCCCAGAAATGAGAACCACTGGAACCCATCCCAGCTACCTGAAACAGCCATTTTCTTAAAGATGGATTAAATATTTGCACATAATATCTCTGTCTCAGCTCCTGCCTGCTCTACTCATCCTATCCTCCATACATTTGCCAGATGTTGGAGTGAAGGCGTGTATCTTTATATGACCCATGGTTGCCATGGTCAAGGAGCTCACATTTCTCCAGATGTTTTGTGATCTCACCACTTACTAATGTTCCTAGGAGTTAGCCTGACTCTAGGTGAGAATTAATGGTTAAATTTCCCTGCTTCTCACCCATAGCATTTTGGAAGAATTTGATTAGATTGATTTTTGTCCAGCTCCTAGCTGCACTTCTCTCTCATTCCTCTCTGAGGAACTTATTCTGGAGGCAGATTTCTCCCCAGTGTCTTTCTGACATTTGGCAGACACAAAGCAGCAAAACATGTTTATAGATTTACTACATGAAGAATAGACCCAAGTCCTTACTAGGAATAAATGCATGCATATTTGCAAGTTGCTGGGGTACTTCCATGATAATTTCCACTGCCATAGTTTCTGTGCATGTGAGTAAGATTTCCCTTTTAACTCATGTCAAAACTATGCTGAATAGAGGGACAATCTCAGCAATTTCTCACGCAATTTTTGTGCACAGAATTTTAAAATCAGGTCTAGATTCCCCATCAACACCTTGCCTTAGGTTACTATTTCTTTAGAAAGCTATGAACTCCAAATACTTTGCGTAATTTGCACCTAATTCAGTGTAACCATAACAGGAAATCAGCTAAACACCATTTAGAAAGGTTTCTAATTCTGTAATGTGTTGGAAGCCACAACATATGCCTGCTAAAGTGTAATTTTGAGGATCTTCAGCGATATTATAGCATGTAAACAGAAACAGTTACAAGAGATTTTAAAATACCCAAGCTCTTTTTTATGACTGGGAGATAGATTGGAAGTAAAGACAATCAGTTAATGAAATGAAAGGTCCATTCTGTTAAATTGTTCAGAAGAATGCATGCAGCATGCCCACTGATGCTTCAATATTCCTCCAACCACTTGATTTACTGTTCTAATCTAGGCTTGTTTACTTTCTCCTGCAGCTCAAGACAGAAAGCAAACCTTTGCAAGCATGTGGCTCCTTTCAGACATCTCAGAAAGAGATAAATGAATATATCTTTCAGTTTATCATACTTAACATCTTAACTGTCACAAATGCAGGGAATATCTGCAAAGTACAATCTCTTTGGTTTACCATATACTAAGTTCCTCTTGCCAGTCTACAGGGATTGGATGCTTTCATTTTTTCCTGATGGCTGTGTGATCTTTGTCCCTCAGTGTTTAACATTACATGGAACTGAGGAATTATACCTTGAAACAGGAGTGGCATTGTTCCACTTAATGCAAACAATTGGACAAGGCAAAAGCAGTGACAATGGCAATGCAGGGTTTTGCCTCCATCCCCCCCACTCCATTTGTGTATTTGGGAACAGTGCTATGGTAAAACCACCACACAGTGGCCTGTCAGCAGCAATTTTCCCCCCTTTTTGAATGAGTGTCCTCTAACTAGGGCAGCACCCTCAGCAACTGGAGATGCAAATACCTCATATCTATCCACCCATCCACACGGCTGCTTCTATTGGATCCATCACAGAAATATCTGGGAGCTTTTATGGAAGACAGGCTAAGTGTGTTAGACAGATAAGGAAAAGTCTCAGTATCTGCTATTATTATAATTTTCCAAAGGGGAAGGAGGGAGGGTGTGGGGTGTGTGACTGACATTTTCAGCAGCTATGTAACAACAAGCAGCTATGTTACAACAGGAAACAGAAATGCCCAGTTTCAGCATGGGTTTTATGATACAACCAAGCCTTGGGAGGATTCCAGCCTTATCCTGGAATCCCAGTAGCTTGCTGACTGTCCTCTGTGTCAAAACCCATTTTCTCTCCCACTGTTTTCCCAGGATTTGGTCCTGCAAGGTGCAGAGTTTTGGCCAGAAGCAAGGGAAGCCTTTAGCCTTTTCCTGACAGAAAATACACTTGAAGTCTCCTGGGAGTCTGGGGACAGGGTTTGTGTACACCTTAGTGTGCAGGCATTGAAGTGACCATCAGCTCATAGGAACGAGCCCTTATCCACTTCTGCATTTCAGCAGAAACAAAGCAAACCTCCCAGCAAAGCTTTGTCATATTTCCAAAACCAAAGAAGTCCCTTTTTCTGTCCTTTGCCCCAAACTGCAGCTTGGGATTCGTCCTTCTTCCTTAAAAAGCCAAGGTTCAAGCTAAATAAAGGTATTGCAGTTTGTTTTTAGCTGGTCAGTTAAAGGAAATACTGTAAATTGCAACACAGTCATGCTACACCATTGTGACTGTGTAAGCAGTAACTCAGCAGTCAGCTCAAAATGCAGCCGAGAACTCTTTGTTAAGAAGGAAAAGGAAAGCAACTGTTATTAAAAATGAACAGTCACTAAAGATTCAGGACTTACCCTGAGTCATCCCTGGCTCCCTTCTCTCCTGCTGATGTTTTCATCATTACAGCAAACTTTAAGTCACTTTCTGTATCACAGTGGCTTGAGAGTTCCTCGGTCAGAAAAGCAATTCCTTCCCATTGCTGAGCAGAACTTCCACATCCTCAGGTTTTGTATTGAAGATGGTATTTCAAGGGCGTGAGGGGGAAGATGTTTAAAGACAGCTTCAGGCTCAGTAGTATCGGAGGGCAGAAGACTAAACAAGCACTGAAATGAAAGCAAACTACCAAGAAGATCCGATTTTAGCCTCTCTTATTTCTACTTCCTGTATTTATATGAACGGGGGATTTCAGGAAGAGGCAGTCTTTGGTGGTCAAGGGTGTGTGTGTGTGTGTGTGAGTGTGTGAGAGTGTGTGTGTTATGAAGCCATATTTAGCAGTGCAGGCAGGTTAACCTTATTAGAAAGAAGGGCCTGAGACTTTCAACTAATTTGTTTCTCTAACCTAAGTAAGTTTCAGAGGAAACAGTTTTTCAGACTGCAGGTATATCAGGAGGCAACGGAGCACAGTGAACTTTGTAAAGGATTTTGTAAGGCAGCAAGGCAGTAAGTCTCCGTCTGCAAATTCCTGAAGCATGTGTATTTCTACTGCTTGAGTAACTGGAACCAGATGGAGCTTGGAAACCTTTATATTTACACAGGACCTGAGAAAACGAAACATCGAACACAGGCAGAGGACAGCTTGGCAGAAGCATTCCCAGTTAAGGCAGAAGGCAATGGTAAGGTGGTGTGACTGCTGGCAAGTGAAGAGCTATCGCTGCTGGGGAGCTCCTGCCGAGCTCCAGCAGCCTGAGCCAGGGTTTGCTGTGCGGGGAGCACGGCTGAGCTCACAGCTGGGGACGCTGGGGCTGACAGATGTGCCCTCACACCCGCTGGGGACACTCCTGCCTGGCAGCCCAGCTGCTCCAGAAAGAGCTGATGTTAGGAGAATACATAATGGAAAAAATAAGGCAGAAGTAGAAAGAAGAGGTGAAGAAGAGCAATTGCATGGAATGGAGCGGGAGACGAAAGTAACTTTTTGCCCTTTTTATCTTTAGAAGGAATTCCTCAGCCTTCTGAAAATAGACAGTGTCACACAGTCCACAGCAGAAATGCAAATGCCAGGGAGCTGTCAGTGGATTGGCAAGAGGGAAACTAGACCTCAGTGTGGAGCACAGAGCCAATTCTGCTGGCACTGAGTTAGAGAGTCAGGAACACTTTTACCATCACCAAGTCACACCTTTGATGTAACGTAAGACAACATTTTTCCTTTATTTATTTATTTATTTTTAATAAACTGTAACTTCAGTTCTCATTAGGAAATTTATCTTCTAGCTTTTACAAGGATTTATCTTAGAAATTCTATTATCTTAGAAAGAGCCTTACTGAAAGACTGCATGATGGAAAATTCACCATCCTTCTAAGTAAGGCATGTTAGTGCATAATTGCTGATATTATTTAAATTCACACCTGATTTTCGCCTTATCTAGTTTTAAATTTTCAGCTACTCTATCTTGTAATGCTCTTTCCTACTATATTAAAGATCGCCTTGCTCCAACTCCTGGAGTCATTTTCAGGCAATGACAAACTCATTCAGTGAAAAATCTAGTTGTCTTAGACAAACTTATCCCTTACTGCAGACTTGTCAGATCTCAGCTCTGAATCTTCCTGTGGGTTCTGGGTTCAGAGGTCTGAGGAAAAAATATCTTCTAGATTTGTTCACCAGCTGGGCACCTTTGAAATGCACCTCAGGTACTGGCATGAGAACAATCTCCTACATGCACCACACAAATTCAACTCTACCCCAATTTCCATTTCCCTCCCCTGCAATTCAGCAGGGACCAGGCCCACTCAGCATCTGCCCTTGCTCTGCTGGAAAAAAAAGGTTTGCTGAGACAAAAAAATGCAAAGTTGTGCTGCCAGCATGGACCTGCTCATGCAGAGGAGACTGTTCACACAAATAGGCAGCCATCCTAGGCAAATACCTAAGATTTTGCAAATGCAAAACACAACAGAGTGAGACAATTCCATTTATATTTTTAGGGAAGAAGAAGAAAAAAATCACTAGAACTATTAAAAAGGTCCAGGAAAAAATGGCAAAAATACAGAATACAAAATTCCAGCATTTTGGTGCTATCTGTTTCATGTGATTTGAGTGAAATCTTTCATTCTATTTTCAATCTAAAGAATGCAGTTTCAGAAATTTGAAGTTTTGACATTCGTTAAAGATATTGACCAAATTTAATTTTTAAAGTTCCATATTTTCTGCAAAATACTCAATATTTCTGTAAAATATTTAAAATATGAAAAAGAAGACAAATTTTGTCCAAGCTTTACTAGGTGTCTTTTTGAGCCAGAGATTTGACAGGTTTAGTATGTGTCAATGTGTTCTAGAACCAGGCTTTGGAAGGAAACAATTACACAAAAGCTAAATGACAAAATAAAATCCAGCTATTTAAAATCGACACTCCTCTGTTATAAATCCAAGCCAAATGGGAGGAATTCATGTCTCTTCTAGGACTGATTCACCCTTTCCATCTTAAGCCACGGCATCCTGCAGCCCTTTTTTGTAGTTTCATGCAGCTGGGTTGTAAAGGTTTAAAAATGACTTATGGGGGAAGCCATTAAGTACAATGAGCACTTGAGCTACAATAAAGGCTTTCAGAATATGCCCAGATTACATGACAGTTCTACTTTCCATACAGTAGGGAGTGGCTGCATCAATAATATTGCTGTGATAGGAGCCCTTAGGAACTGTCATGCCTATTGTGTCACTAATCCATAGATTATGTGCCTTTTATAGAGCCTATTACATAACAGATCATGATGGGTCACCATGTCAAGGATGGAAGGATTATAAAGAGGCACTTTTCACATTCATATTCTGATTTTTAGAAGTTAATTCTATGTAAAAGGAGGAATCTTCTTGTTTCCCCAGCTTAGAAAAATTTAGCCTAGCATACACTAAAGAATGAAATCTTTTGCAAAAGTCAGAGAATGCAGAATATTCTTTTTGTCCACTTCCATAAGATTTTTCTGTATATGTACATAAGCCCACAGTGGCTAATGCCAGGTTTATACAGCAGTAGGGATTCCACTCTCATGCACAATGCTTAATAAAAAGATCAAGCTTTGTTTTAACTTGCATCTCCTGCTAGTAAACTGGCTAGGAGTATTCATGAGAAGACTCTTGTCTAATGAAACTGTTAATATACCAGGCCTTGAGATGAAGTAAATAAACCCTTAGCTCCTCTTTTTCCAAGAACTGCATTTAAAGCTTTTCCTAAGCCCAGCACAGACTGCACCACAGACGATAGACAGCACAGCAGGAGTCTCCACACACCCTGAGGAGGAATGCAGGGATGCTGGAAATGGGCAGTCAGGGGTAAGGAGTATCTCCAGAGCCCAGGGAACTGGGAAAGGAAAGTAGCACTGTGTGGCCTTTGGACCTTATTTCCAGCCTCTCATCAGCATGCAGTACTCAGTGTGAACCTGCTGGACACCAATATGCCACAGGATGAGGCAGCCAAAATGCTCTTAAGCAGGGCTTTTTCTGAGGTTGCCAGAATTGCTTCTGGATCAGTGCCTCAGTACAGCAAACTGTGCTCTCAGCAGACTGAGTTCTCAGTTTTCTAGTCCCAAAAGAGCAAATTGGGTGTTTCAGAATTGCTGCGAATCAAACCAATACATTTAACTCACTCCAAATAATGGCTTGATCCAGGTAATACTCCCTAGAATACACAGAATGGGCCTTTTGTCACTCAGTTCAGCAGGGTCCAGATTTCACCAAAAACATGCAGGCACATGTCGTATTTGGGTCCTGAAATTTTAGATTTTCAACAGTATATATAAGAATGTTTCACATCTACTAATCATCTGAGACAAAAAAAGCAAACACTCTTGTTTATATAATTTATTGATAGTGTACATATTTTTATATAGTGCATTATAATACTGACTGCTATAATCTTTATAAATGCTCAGTTAACTATTTTTTAAAATTCTCACAACAAAAATAATCAAATATCATGCCAACATTTTGTAACAAATTATCACATTAAATCCATTTGGATTTCATGACATATTTATCTGTACAATGGACCCCATATCACAGAGCATTCACAGTGCATAAGGTCACAGTCATTGAAAAAATAAGTAACATGAGAGATTTCTGTTATTTACATTTTACAAACCCATCCCTTTCTGTTTTCAAAGTAAGTAGTTCTAGGTTTTCACAATATTTAAAGAGGTATTGCACCTCTGAAGGGTGCACTGAAAACGCCTGCAAGTATGAAACATAGATTTTTCAAAGGTTCAGAAGTTATTTTAGTGACCATAAATGATTTCAAAGAATTTCTTGCAACGGAGGAGATACCGTGAGCCAAATTCTCTGCTCAGTTCCACTGATACTAAATTGTGCCAACTACCAGGACATTAATGAACACTGGCACCACTCCCAAGAATATAAAAGTAAGAATTTGGTCATAACTTTGCTGCAGTAACAGCCACTTGAAACACAGGTCTTGCTGGGGAAGCAGATTTACAAGTTTTCTTTGCATAAATAACCGGTATATGAATAAAGGCCATAATCTTTCTGTAAAAACCCTCTGAAAGGAAGCATCTCAATTGCTATTAATCTTTCTAGAGATTATATCTGTCTGGTTTTCACATATTCTGGTATCTTTAGAATTTGTTACCATGTCTAGTGCTACAAACAAATCTTTTTATTTGTCGTTCAAGTTTATCAAGACCATCTAGGTGATAGGACAGCAATGATCACCTACATTCTTTGTGCAAGTGAAAAATCAAAACAGGATTAAATTCCAACTGGCAATTCTTCTACGAAAATATCCAAATGGCATTAGTTTCCCATAATTATTCATTTCTTTCACACAGTGCACTGTATGGTAGCAAGCAGAACCATGTGATGAACAAATTGCCACAATCACTACACATCTTTGCCTGTGGAGAAGCAGCTACACACATCTCACGTGTCAGGAGAGGCATATACAGAATATCACAGACTGCTCTGGGGAAATACCATCGGGACCTCACATGTGGGAAAATGTGAGAAAAGCGTATGCTCAAGTTATTCAAAAAGAGGCTTTTAAACATGTACACAACAGGTACATTGTACATGTACAATAGAAACTGGAATGCACACATCAGTTGAATGACGTTCTCTTCTTCAGTGGGACATTGATCACCTGCATACAGACTTTTTCAAATGGTTCAAGGGAATAGTAACAGGTTTGGTACAGAATCACTGTAACTCAACACTGTCATTTACCTGGGTAACCATCATACAAATCTCACCATCCAACAAAATGAAAAATGCGGCATT